TGAAAGAGTAACTCATACAAGCTTATAAATACTAGGACTTTGTATTACGTGTAGCTTAAACTGAGGCTATCCAATCTCTCCAACCGTGTGACTAAGTCACCCTTTAACACTCTCCATACTGCTGAGTGTCACAACACACGCATCTATACCATATATACCACAAAGTCAAAAGGTGGTGGAGCTCCAGGAGATTCAGGCAATTCCTCCACTTCTGTGTGATAGGTGCTGGGCTAGGTAAAGGGCGTAGCTGAGTCCCAGGGTAACCTGGTGATGAGAGCTGCAGCAGCCCCTGCCAGCTCCCTTCTTCCCACAGCCAGGGATTTGGATTATCCAGCAGCCCCCACACCAGAATAACCCTGCTGCTGGTCACCTGATGTAGCCATGGCACAGGAGCTGCATTTGACCTGCTTGCGAGCAGCATGCAGCTGACGACCTGCAGGTTGGTTACCCTGACTTAGGCATTAGCTCACTTACAAAATCTGTATTTCATAGTTCTAATTCAGTTCCTGTTGTTCATATGGACTGCACTGCATGTTTTCCAGTAGCGTATCAATCTAGTATTGAATTGCATGACTGTTCTAGCATATAGTCTGTACGTCTCTTGTTTTAATTTTGTCTTTTCTTTTTTCTTTTTATTCAGACAGCGGATTTGGCTTCTGTGCAATTAACAGGAACTCCAAATAGATGGGAGGTCTTGTCTGCAGCTCCTGCCACTATAAAGGATGAAGCTGGTAATATAGTACAGATTCCAGGTGCTGCCACAGTAACTTCAAGTGGGCAGTATGTCCTTCCTATTCAGAGTTTGCAAAATCAACAAATCTTTTCTGTTGCACCAGGATCAGATTCGTCGAATGGTACAGTGTCTAACGTACAATACCAAGTAATACCCCAGATCCAGACAGCGGATGGTCAGCAGGTTCAACTTGGCTTTGCAGCCTCTTCTGATAATAGCAGTATAAATCAAGAAACTGGTCAAATTCAGATCATTCCTGGCTCTAATCAAACCATCATTGCCTCTGGAACACCTTCAGCTAATATTCAGAATATCTTATCACAGTCTGGTCAAGTCCAGGTTCAGGGAGTTGCAATTGGTGGTTCATCTTTCCCTGGCCAAGCGCAAGTAGTTGCTAACGTCCCTCTTGGACTGCCAGGAAATATTACTTTTGTACCCATCAACAGTGTTGATCTAGATTCTCTGGGACTTGGCAGTGGTTCTCAAACCATGACAGCAGGCATTAATGCAGATGGGCACTTGATAAATACTGGACAGGCCATGGATAGTTCAGATAATTCCGAACGGACTGGTGAGCAAGTTTCTCCTGAAATTACAGAAACAGCCACTGATAATGACTTATTTGTGCCAACATCATCTTCATCACAATTGCCCGTTACCATAGACAGTTCAAGTATATTGGAACAAAATGCAAACAACTTGACCACGACTAGTGGTCAAGTTCATAGTTCTGATCTTCAGGGAAATTACATCCAGACATCAGTCTCTGATGACACGCAGGCTCAGAATATTCAGGTCTCCACAGCACAGCCAATTGTACAACACATACAGCTGCAAGAGTCTCAGCAGCCAACCAGTCAAGCCCAGATTGTACAAGGTATTGCGCAACAGACAATCCATGGTGTGCAGGCGAGTCAAAGTATATCTCAACAGGCTCTTCAAAATCTTCAACTGCAGCTGAATCCTGGAACTTTTTTAATTCAGGCACAAACAGTGACCCCTTCTGGGCAGATAACCTGGCAGACATTTCAAGTGCAAGGAGTTCAGAACTTGCAGAACTTGCAAATTCAGAATGCACCTGGTCAACAAATAACTCTAACCCCTGTGCAGACTCTCACTCTTGGTCAAGTTGCAGCAGGTGGGGCGTTGACGTCAACTCCAGTTAGTCTAAGCACTGCTCAATTGCCAAATCTACAGACAGTTACAGTAAACTCTATAGATTCTGCTGGTATTCAGCTGCATCAAGGAGAAAATGCTGGCAGTCCCGCAGGTATTTATTTTACTCTTTTTACAGAAAAGTGTTTTTGATTATTGCATGTTTAAATGGTGATAATTGTAATGTTACTGTCTTGCTGTGGAAGCCCACAAAATACAGTGGGTTAAACATAGTGATGGTAGATTTTATTTGAAATTACTGTTCCATTAGAAACCACTGTAATAGTAGAACATAGACCCACCTCACTTGTTTTAGTATAAGCTCCTATAACTCCCAACTGGTCATATTAGTTAACGGCACTTTAATACAACATTTATCGGCGGTTATAAGTCTTACCATGCAGAAGATCAGCATACTAAATTAAGAATTGGGAAATCTAACTATCAACCACCACTCTTCTAAGGCAGCAGTATTATTGGCATACCCCATTCTTCCCAGTCCGGAATGGATGAAGTTTGCATGGAAAATCCAAATGTTTCTGTTGATACAATTTTTTTTCCCCTGATAATTTTCAGACCCCCTGAGGTGCTGTTATTTATCCACTGTTTTGTTAAATTTGTTTCCTACTGATTTAATGTCAGTGTATCTGCGATGCACAAAACTCATGTAAGCAGAAGTGAAACAAGCATATAAATATCAAAATGGAGGCTGTGATTAAGAACATACATGAATTTCCAGTACTGCTTATTTGTATTATGTTTCAGAATGTACAATTGTTAATTATAAACTTCACAGTGTGTTGTATCTCTGTAAGCAGAGAAGAGAGGCTATTTTCTTAAAATAGGTGTTTCTTAATGTGAGAAAAAAAACTTGCCTGTTTATTTTTGGAAAATTTGATACAGTGCATTCTGAATTTCAGGGTGTAGCTACCTAAACAAAAGAATAAGAGATGATTGAAGTTTGAGACATTTTGCTGTATGAGAAGCCATTTAATCTCATCATTGCGGGGTCGTGCCCAGGCTACTTATGAGGGGCAGAGTGAGCAGCAGAGGTCGTTTGGGAGGGAACTGTTGCACAAAGTAGCTTGCGAATTGCTGTTTTACTCCAAACATGTGATCCAAGGCTCTGGTTCATTATGATACTGAAGCATAAATATTTAAGTAAAACATAAATGTTTTGTGTTGTATGCCTATTTAAGCATGTGAGAAGAATGCAATATTAAGTGAAATATGCCTAGAGGAGCTGCTGAATTGAGTTTGTTTCAAAAGCCTACTGATTATAATACTTACATAGTTATTGATATTGGTATATTCTATGTCAGGAAGCTTTCTTTCCCTTTGGAATCTGAAATTTGCATTTAAAATAATAAGCTGGGATGTTTTTTTGGTTCATTTTGTTTTGGAAGTGACTTCTGTATTATGGACTTACCAAGGCAAAGTTACCCACACCTAGATAAGCCTGATCTCATTGGCTTGAGCACCAAACAGATGAGTGTGCTGCTCACAGTGTTTGCTCTGCTGAGTAGTCTTGATTCTTAAATTTTCTATTTCCAGTGGCCACAGGAAGTCTTGGTTTGTCTCCATCACACTTTGTTACCTATGAGGACATGGGGTATAGACATCAGTAGCAAAAAGCATATATTGTGCATGATAACACAGCTAAACTCAGATAGCAGAATCTAACTCTTGGAAAGAGGTCCCTGTGGGTAATATGAAATACAAGGAGGATGAGAACTTCTTTATTTCTGAGATTTATATTTGGTAGAGGGTTGTGTAGCTAGTGTTATTGCTTGTGGAGTAACATAGCGGAAACTTGAGAAGAAAGAAAGAAGGGAAAAGGAGAGAGGAACCAAAAGAAAACACCCATGAAAAGAAAGCTGAGGCGGCTGTGTGTATTAGTTTGTCTATTGATGGTCCTTGAGAGTGTTTTAATGGTGGTTCACAATAAAATGCAAGGGCGTTCCATCAGGCATTCCTTAACTGTGTTTTCCTGTGAGGAATTTCACATGGGAAGGGAAGAGAGTAAATGGGATATATGAAATGTGATTAAATAGGCAGAAGCAGTAGATGAACAGCAGAAACTATTGCCTGAAGTGAATAGCTGTAAACACCTGGTTATATTAAAGATAAGATGGAGATTTATAGTGACATTTTTCCTACTTGTCTAGGAATAGTAAATAGACGGGAAGGTATTAAAACTGCCATGCCCGAAATTTGAGGAGAATTTAATTGGTCCCTCCTTTATGTTACCAGAAACTCACTTTTCCAAAGTAACGATTAATGTGAAACTGCTTCTGACTAACAGAATCAGATTGAATTATCTTGATTGACATTCAGTGTCTCTTCCATATGCATCTGGTATTTTGTCTATATTGAAGTTGTCTGAGAGAATCTTTTTCAGTGATATTCCTCCCCTTTTTATCTATAACCTCTTACAATATGGTATGGCACCCTTTCTTCAGGTTGAAGAATAAATATGCAATTAAAAGCAGATAATGAAATTAAACAGAATTTTTGCAATCAAAAATATATTGCTCTTCTGATCTGCAAATAAGGAAAAACAGTTTAGTTTTAAAGTGAAAGAGGAAGGTATGTGGAAGGGGCAGCAGAGTGAGAGAAGTTAAAGCTAAAGAGTGAGAGGCTACTTGATCCTCTCTTCTGCAAACTACCATCAAGCTTTGAAGCAAGATAAGAAGGGTTTCCCTGTATTTTCTCCCCCCAGCCTGTATAATGCACTTCCTTCCGTGACAAATACAGTTAGGCTGTATTTTCTTTTTTCATTTAGCAAAACTTTTCTACCTGAAGCAAAAGTAAGAAGAACATATTCCTCATCTTGGGTCAGAGATGGTTGGTAATCATCTGAAGTCCAAACAACATAGATCGCTCTGTTAGTGATGTAGCTGTGAAAACTGTGTGTTAGGTTTTAGATTTTGGTAAATACAGCCCATTGTGTGAGAGGTGTTCTTCCAAGCGTCGCTTCCCAGGTAAGCAGCGGAGGACATCTTTACTGTTCTCATGAGTGTATGAGAGGAAAAAATGTCTTTACCTGGGTCCTACATTTTGTTTACATAATGGAAAGTCATCACAATCCTAATACAAAGCTAATAGCTTTGTCCAGTAAATGTACAGTTTTCGTTGAAACAAATCCATCTTCTACAAAACTGTCTGCTTTACCAGGCAAATGCAGAGATTTCCATTGCACTAAATTTGTTCTGAAAAGTCTTGGTTGAGCTTGTTCTATTTTCGAATGTTTATTAGCTCATATTCCTCCTCAGTGTGCTTAGTCTTGTCTTGCAGTGGAGAAGGGAAGAATATTGGTTAGTCATAGCTGAAACTTTCTTCAGCATTGCTTTTCCAAACAAAAATCTATATCAAGTAGTATCTATGTGTTAAACACTGGCAAAGAGGTAGCTTTCTCACCTGTGTTCTGGCTTCAGTCTTCTGGTCTTGAGAGGAAGTTAAACCTGAGAAAGCTGTCTGGTAGTCTGCTCCTTTTGTTGGCAGTTTGTAATATAATACTGCATTGTGTGTAACAAAAAGAGCCATTACGTGCACAGTTCACAGGCCTTTAGCAGCTTCCCTGTTCAGGAAAGGTATTTATTTTTATTAGCATGTTTATAGATTTCTTCTTCAAACATTTAATATAAAATATTTGTATTATATATATTTTATATATAAAAT